ACAGATCGAAGGAACAGAAGGAACGACCGATGGAGCTCGACAAACCCGATCGATGACTCGACCCAAAGCCCCGATTCTTGCCCAAGGAGCGATCACGAGAAGCCGACGAGGGGAGAAGAACGCCCAAGACCAATTCAATCTTTTCCTTCAAGAATATGTCCACGATCTCATCGAGCCAACAATTCAAGACCAAGAGTCACCATGGATGGTCTTCACCATCACCATTGGTGAAGACGTTTAAGTCGTTAGCGACTGTACTCTTTTTCCTAACTCGGTTTTTATCCCATTGGGTTTGACCGAGAAGATTTTAACGAGGCAGTTAATCCTAGCGCATCCACGCGTTTTACCAAAGACGTGTGGATCCTATCCTTCTATCCTTATCTTTTGAACTATGAATTTTCGAACGTTGGTTATTTGTCTTTATTTACAAGTGTTGTAAGCCGCTCGACTACACACGTGACCTAGGGCATAATAGGTTCCTTTCTCGGTCGCACCTATTTAAAGGCTGCTCAACCCTTGTAAACACTACGCTTGCTTGAATCTAAAACCCTAGAGTTTTCTCCTCTTGCGTCATTTCTTCGTTCCTCTAAAGGCCTCACGCCACCTAAAGGATCGGAAAACCTCGACATCCGAACGAGCCGGGCTCTTCGACGGCGAGACAACCGTATCACGAGTTCTTCCATCGCTCGTGTGTCGTTGTATCGTTCCATTCACCATCCTTCGAAAGCTTCTCTCATTTGTACGAGAGGGTTTTCCCATCGAACGCTTCCTCGTCGTTCTGCCCGACAGTACGCTGAGCCGCTCGTCGCGTCCGAACCAAACCTCGATCCTTCGAGCGTATCCGGAGGTTCATCAGAAGGAATTAGGGAAACAATTTTTTGATACATTAAATGTTTAAAAAATTTTATTAAACATATAAATAGCTCAAAATACATTTTATTAATACATTAAATGTTCTATAAAGTTTTTTTTATAAAAAAAATCAAGTATAAATATTGAAATTTCTTACAAAGTTTAAAGTATTAAGGATATTCTGAAAAACATGTTCTCCATCCATATAGTTATTTTAGTATTCTTAACTTCTACAAAGTAGCCTTAGAGCGATAAACCAACATGACATTATAGTAATCGCCACGAAGATTCTAACTTTCAGCCAAAAAATCATCATCCCCTCAAAATAACCATGACATTGCGGGGATAGATTTCCAATGCTCTCCAAATTCGCATTCTTTTCTTGACTCTATTATTGCTCACCTGCTTATTTCCCGTTTAAAAAAAATTGATCAAATCAACTTATTGAAATCTTTTAGACAATTATTAGGATTTTATTGCACATCACTAATCGTCTTTACATCTATGATTTGTCACTCCATCGTTGGCTATAATATTAGTGATCTCTACCGAATCTAAATAGCCAAACGCTCTCAAATACACAGTTTTCATAGTCTCACCACACTATGACCATCCATTCCAGAAGGAAATGGACAGGTTTTATAGTCCCACCACACTTTGATGGAATCATTATCATTTACTTCAGATGCTCATTAGTTATTTTTTGTAGAGAAAATTTTTGTTGGATTTTTCTTTTTGACTAAATAACTTTTGTTAAAAAAAATTTATCGGTAAGTTCAGATTTTCATTTTGTTGAATTTATTTTCGACATAGGAGTAAAATGATCATTAAAATATTATTAGTATTTTAAACATTTTATAAAGTTTAAGTTTTTTAAAAGTTGAAATATTTATAATACTTAAACTTTTTTAAAATCTTTAAATATTATTAATACATTAATTTTTTTATAGTAATTTTTTAAAAAATTTAAACTTTATAAAAAAATAAAATATTCATAATAATTTTTTACTTTTACAAAATTCAAAATATTATAAATACTTAAGAATTCTAAAAATATTATCTAAAAATATCACATAGTTAAAAAATTAATTTACACAACAACACTTATATTAATATCAAGGCACCGATTAGAAATGTAAGATCCGCCCTACCAACAATATTTGAAATGGTGTGCCAAATGTGCATTTCCACATGATCCATTTTGTTGCAATTTTTGTACATAATTTAGATTGTAAATTATACTTGGTTTGTACCTTTTGAAGCTACAACATTAAATTATGTCATAGTTTGCACTAAACCAATACTATTAACAAGATGGGTGGGTTTTTTTTAAACCTTTTTAACAAGTTATAACAATAACTAACAAAATTAACAACTCACTTTTTCATAAGAGACATTGTCCTCAACCGACTCATTTAAATCATATTTCTTTATATAAATTCCCTAGAAATTGTTCAGAAGAAGACTCTTAACTGAGTGATACAATGATACTTGTTAGTTATAGATTTATCGAAGATATACCATTTACTCTAACAAACTCGAATAATAAAAAGTTAAATAAACAAGTGAATTTTAAATGTGTTACACACATTTTTGGTTAATCAATAGTAAAAAAACTGTATTTTCGCTTGAAGTAATATTTTTAAAAAACTAAATTTATTATTTATACTGTAATATATAACACAGAAAAAGGCCAATAACAGGAAAAGTTGGATGCGAACTCATATCTTTCCCAAATCAGTGGGATCGTTTTTGGCAACTCAAATCCACAACTTTTAACCTTAATACCTCGTTTATATACATGTGTCTTAATGCCCCAACGATTTAGAAGCTGAATCTCTTGTCAAATTGTGTTTTTGGTGAAGTTTCTAAATCCTTCTTCGTCATCTCTAATTTAGAAATATCTTGCCAACTTATGATCGAAGTTTGCGGTGGTTTAGGTTGGTCGTGCTCTTTTGTAGTTGGTGCTTTTATTCTAATTCGTTTTCACCCGTGGTAGGAGTTGTTTGTAAGCTTCATCTTCTCTCACTTTCAAGTTTTTCTCCATATAAGTAGGCTTAAGTAAACCTATAACCACTTGGTAGTCGTGAAAATTCGTGGATATAAGGTGATTTTTTTTAAAGCCACAAATTATTAAAACTACGACGCTATAGCCATGAATATTAAGACACATCCACGAATATTCAAGTGGTTATAGGGATTTTTTTACTAGTATAGTATATATAAGCTCTTAAACGGGGGATTTGCTTTAAGAGAGAACTGAGTCTTGATCTATAGTTTATTAGAAAGCTCTTGTTCATAAGAATTAAGAACCTAACTCCGTAGACTGCTCGTCAAACGTGAGTCGGAGTTAATCGGAATTTGCTTGGTAAATTCTTTGGTATCTTTGTTCCATAGTCAAATTAAAATTGTTTTGGACCGGTTCTTAAGGTTCCGAGACCAGTTTTGGATTGATAATATAGGAAGAATAAGCGCATGAAATTGATTGTTGATTTGGTTGAGTTTTAATTTGAAACCGTTAACAATTTTAATCGGTTCAGCTGTTTTATGTCAGTTTAGGGTAAACCAATTTTAGATTCATATTTTCCTCACCAATAGCTTTTTGTTGATATATTGCTCCTAATGTTTGAAGCATCTGTGAATTAATGGGTGCCTTGGATTGTTTGTAGAATTGCAGTTGACCACGTATTTGATCGAAAAATCTTTACTAGCTGAGTTCTAACTTGCCCATTAGTTATATTATATAGTTGTATAATACTTCAAAAATAGAATAGAAAGAAAATAACTAAATTATTTATGGAAAAATACTCTCAAAATTGCCAATTTTGGTAACTTTACCCTCTAAATAGGAATTTTTGGGACTTGAATCCTCTCTCTTCAGGTAGTTGGATATGGAGGAAGTTATGCAAGATCCGTCCTTTAGCTAGACCATTTGTGGTCTGCGAGGTGGGTTCAGGCGAGACTGCCAAGTTTTGGCACGATAACTGGACCGGTCTTGGTCCTCTTTTAGACCTCACATGCCCTCTTGGACCTCGATTATCAGGGTTACCAATTGAGTCGGTGGTGAAGTCAGCCATTAGAGGTCATGCTTGGTGGATTTCGACTAGTAGAAGCAAGAATCCTATCATTACTCTGTTGAGAGACTCTCTCCCCTCGGCTGAAAGTATAAGAGAAAGTATCCACGATGATACTTACCTTTGGAAAGCAGTTTACTCCATTTGGAAGGAGAGGAACCTAAGACTCCACATAAACACGTCCTCAACACCGGTTGTGATCATCAAGGGAATTCAGATGACCATTAGGGCTCGGCTTGATCCGCTCTCTCGGGATCGCAGGCCCTCTGCTCGTCCTCGTTCTGGATCTTTGATGTCTTCCTGGTTCGAATTTTTCTGATTGCCCAGGTATGCTTGGGAGTTTGTTTTCTCTTCTTTCTTCTTTGTCCTTGCAGGTCTCGTTCTAGCTTTGTCTTGGCTGGACTTGTTGCTTTTGGGCCTTGTGGACTCTTGTCTGTGGGGGTTTCTATCTCTGGCATGTGTGCCTTGTTTGGGCCTGTGAGCATGTAAACTTTAGGGCCTGCGTGCCATTTGGATTTTTATGCCTTGTAATCGGTGTGCTTCTTTCTAATGGAAATTTTTTATATAAAAAAAAAAAAAAAAAAAAAAAAAAAAAAAAAAAAAAAACTTTACCCTCTAAATGTTTTTACAGTCATATTTTATAAAAATTATAATGATATAATTAGTCTCTTTGTCGTGATGGTTTTAGTTTGATATATTATTTATTAATATTTTACAAACTTCATGCTTATAAAAAATAACGGTCGTTATGTTTTAATAACATTATATATGTGTTTGATGGTCTTATGTTATGTTCTGATGATTTGAATCTGTAGTTTTTTTTCAAACTTGCAATTTCATATAATTAGTTGTGGACGGTTATATGAAACTTCATGACAGTTAACCACATTTTCATCATTAAAACACGTGTCCACACATCGTACACATATACACAATAAAAGTCAAAAGAACAAAAATCGAATTGCTTAAATAATCAAAGTCGTTGTCAACTTGACCTTTCCTTTCCTTACCATCATCACTCATTACGGAGGAAACTTCCCGGCCACCACCGCGCAACCGCCTCAGTCTTTAAATAATTCTCCAAAAATTTTCAAACCCGTGTTTTAACCGTCGGACAATGAAGAATACATCTCCCCACGCATTCACATATTTATATATATATAATCTACAAATCTTTACAAGAATCTTCAGCAAACCATTTTTAGTCTTCATCAAGATTTGTATCCAAATCCAAGAATATGAGTCAGAAATCTCCATTATCAAGATTATACAAGAAATACTCCAAGAAGAGGTCAGAATCATCTTCAAGAACACATGAAGACGAAGAAGCAAGATCCAGTACTAGTAGCTCGTTAAACGTGGACGAGCTAAGAACCGTGTTTGACTACATGGATACAAACTCGGACGGGAAGATCTCAGGGGAGGAGTTGCAAAGCTGTTTTAGTCTCTTAGGCGGCGCGTTGTCTTCGCGCGAAGCCGAAGAAGTGGTGAAGATTTCTGACGTTGATGGAGATGGGTTTATTGACTTTGGTGAGTTTTTGAAGCTAATGGAAGGTGATGATGGTAGTGATGAAGAGAAGAGGAAAGAGTTGAGAGAAGCGTTTGGTATGTATGTTATGGAAGGTGAAGAGTTTATTACGGCCGCGAGTTTGAGGAGGACGTTGAGTCGGCTCGGCGAGTCGTGTACCGTTGATGCTTGTAAAGGTATGATTCGTGGGTTTGATCAGAATGGTGATGGAGTTCTTAGTTTTGACGAGTTTGTTCTTATGATGCGTTGAGATGGTTTTGCTTATTATACTTCAAATTCTTATATATTCTTTTGGGTTGCTAATTGTTTCTATGTATATTTGTGTTTTATTTTGATCCATATGTATTTAACACACTTTATATTAATTAAACATGTTCTATGGTTATGCTTTAGTGTGTTGTTTTCTTTAACTTCAAACATACACAAATGTTTTGTCCGTGCGCAACTAGAGATAGTCAATATTTTTTGAAGTAATTAAGAGCTAAATCCCAAATTGTTGGTAAAACTACAAATTTATTTTGATAAAACGATGAGATTTAATCAAGTTAATGACCATTTCTATAATGTACAGATACAGCTATTTTCTTAGTCTTGTTCGTATTCTTTTTAACGAAATCCTAATTTTTACTTTGATATATCTATTACGCCTCTATAATTTGTTTTGACCACCTCTACTAGATAAACACATGAAAGTTGCTTATCACTAAACTAATCATATAACTAAAAATTAAAATAATAAAATAATAATTTATATTACAACTTACAAGAAAAGAAAGAGAAACGATTCTTCAGCTGCCTAGAGAGAGATCGATTCTCTCAATTATGAATTTTCTTTTTTATATAACTATGGCCTCCCGGAGCACGTAGTTGAATAAGCCGTTGACGAGGAGCATCACGAAGACGACGAGGAGAAGCACGAAGACGAGGAGCAGCTCGAAGACGAGGAGCAGCTCGAAGCGGAGGAAGTATCAAGACTTAAGAAGCTCAACCAAGCAAGCAATGGCCTTCTTAAGGAGCTACGCAAGAAGGAAGAAGTCATCGTCCAAGATTCCTTGAAGAAGATCACGACGCAAGAAATTCGGTAAAGGGTTAAGTGTTGTTTATGCACTCTTTTTTCTTTGTCAAGTTTTGTCCCATTGAGTTTTCTTGACAAGGTTTTTAATGAGGCCTAAGTAACATTTTCAAGGCCTTTTACCAACCCCAATTTGTGGATCCAAGGCCCTTCACTTTGCCTTGGCCCATTTTCTATCTTTTCTTTTCATTTTTGCATTTAATGTTTTGTTATTTCCAAGACTTGGTGCATAAACTTGCATGAGTATAATTTCTAAAACACTTGTGCATGCTCTTGCATGTAACACTTTCAAGGCCTTTTACCAAGCCCAATTTGTGGGTCCAAGGCCCATCACTTTGCCTTGGCCCATTTTCTATATTTTCTTTTCATTCTTTTCATTCTTGCATTTAATGTTTTGTTATTTCCAAGACTTGGTGCATAAACTTGCATGCGTGTAATTTCCAAGACACTTGTGCATGCTGTTGCATGTTCTTCTTCTCCTTCATCCCTCTCTACTATATAACCCCCCTCTACCTCTCATTTGTAACTCATCTATCTTTTTATCAAAAACTCTTTCAAGTTAGATTACTCTCTCTTGTTCTCTCTTTGGTACGTAATATACTTAGTGAAGTCCAATTTCGGTAAATCAAAGGCTCTTCTGCAACCTTTGTGCGACCATTCGCTCCACATCCGTTAGTCTAAGTGATCCCCCGATCCCTTAGGTGCAAAGCCTATCTTTCCCTCAACTTCAAGAGTGTCGATTCTAGCAGGATCATATTATGTGGTATTAGAGCACACTCTGAAAAGTTGAGTACTCTATACTCTTTACCATCGTTCATCTTTTTAATTTCATCTTCATCAATCTTCCATTTCATTTTTCGTTTTTATTTTTGTCAGTTTTTTTTTTGTGTTTATGGATTTTCTGTCATTTTGTCGGAATTTTCATAAATCATTGATTCATCCAAAAATTACAAACTTGTTTGTTTCTAAAACTAGGATGAGTCAATGATTTATGAAAATTCTGACAAAATGATAGAAAATCCAGAAAAACAAAAACTGACGAAAATAAAAATGAAAAATGCAATGGAATAGGGTTGAAGATGGAATGGAAAAGATAAAAGATGGTAAATAGGATAGAATACTCAACTTTTCAGAGTGAGCTCTGATACCACGTAATACGATCCTCCTAGACTCGGCACTCGACAAGTTGAGGGAAAGATAGACTTTGCACCTAGGGAATCGGGGGATCACTTAGACCAAAGGATGTGGAGCGAATGGTCGTACAAAGGTTGCGGAATTCTTTTGATTTACCGAACTTGAACTTCACTAAGGACATTACACACCAAAGAAAGAAAAAGAGAGAGTGATCTAACTTAAAAGAGTTTTTGTTAAAAAAATTAGATGAGTTACAAATGAGAGGTAAAAGGCGATTATATAGTAGAGGGGAATGAAAGAGAAGAAGAACATGCAAGAGCATGCAAAAGTGTCTTGGAAATTACACTCATGCAAGTTCATGCACCAAGTCTTGGAAATAACAAACACATTAAATGCAAAAAAAAAGATAGAAAATGGGCCAAGGCAAAGTGATGGGCCTTGGACCCACGAATGAACTTGGTAAAAGACCTTGAAAATGTTACTTAGGCCTCGTTAAAAACCTTGTCATGAAAACCCAATGGGATAAAACTTGACAAGGGAAAAGAGTGCATACGCAACACTTATCCCTTTACCGAACCCCTTGAACCGTGATTAATGAGGGTTAAGTGTTGCTTATGCACTCTTTTTCCTTTCTCAAGTTTTGTCCCATTGAGTTTTCTTGAAAATGTTTTTAATGAGGCCTAAGTAACACTTTCAAGGCCTTTTACCAAGCTCAATTCGTGGGTCCAAGGCCCATCACTTTGCCTTAGCCCATTTTCTATTTTTTCTCTTTATTCTTGCATTTAATGTTTTGTTATTTCCAAGACTTGATGCATGATATTGCATGAGTGTAATTTCTAAGACACTTGTGCATGATCTTGCATGTTCTTCTTCTCTCCCTTCTTTTCCGTCATCCCCCTCTACTATATAATCTTCCTCTACCTCTCATTTGTAACTCATCTATCTTTTTATCAAACACTCTTTCAAGTTAGATTACTCACTATTGTTCTTTCTTTGGTGTGTAATATCCTTAGTGAAGTCCAAATTCGGTAAATCAAAGGCTCTTCCGCAACCTTTGTGCGACCATTCGCTCCACATCCTTTGGTCTAAGTGATCCCCCGATCCCTTAGGTGCAAAAACCTATCCCTTCCCTCAACTTCAAGAGTGTCGATTCTAGGAGGATCGTATTATGAATGATTTATGAAAATTCTGACAAAATGATATTTGCATGTTATAAACTAATTAAAGATTATAAACTAATTTTTGGTTAAAAATCCTAATTTTTACTTTGATGTATCTATTATTTGCGTTTTTATTTTAACTAAATAAATTGTAGTAAATTTGGTTAATTTTTTGTTTCCATATTTCTTTTTAAGGAAAAATTAAAACTAAGCAACAAATATTTAAACTTTTACTTGATCATTCTAAGAGCATATAATGTACTGTGTACAATTCTAGATATACTTTAAAATATTCTCCAATAATCCATATTAATAGTAGATTATATGTTTCTTAAATTACAAAAAATCTAAACAATTGCATCTATATTAACATTTTTGAATTACCTTTTGTGTTCTACCCTTTTATTTTATAATATTTGCATAATTAAACCCTTGCCATTTGATTAAATAGAAAAAGTTTAAGATAAATTTTGTAATTAAATCATAATAAATTTGCAAAACTAGAAATCAATATTTATTACATTTAACAAAATTTCCTAAAATCTCTCCCTAATAAATCAAAGATTTCTCCAACATCTTCATATGATCTTATTTGTTTTTAAATTTATATTATTACATAAACATATTTATAATAAAAATATAATTTTTTTTTTGCATATGTTGTAATTTAAATTTTTAGAAACGGATGCATATTACTCAAACAATACAAAAATGTATAACCTAAAGTATTATTGATAATTGTGTAGCACGGATCATGTGATGGAATGAGTTATAATTTATACAATTATGATTATAGATATTTTTAGGAGTTGTCTACTATAGTATAACTCACAAAAATATTTTAATATGAAATTATATAATGCAAACGAATATTATGTCAGTATCATTTCATTATTTTAAATATTATACTTATTTAATTAATTTAATCAAATTACAATTATATAAAAAATAAATTATCATATAATATTCTACAGATTAATCATAAAATTAACAATCAAAATATAGTAGTACACTCTTATATACCAAACAAAAATAATAAAAATAATACATTTTAAAATGTCGTCCCGCGGGTTAAAATATACAGTCTTATTTTGATAGAAAACTACAAGATTTATTCAAATACAGTATATGATAAATTGGTGATATTCACAACATTTCCAAAACAAGAGTCACATCACAGTATCACACCCACCAGAAGATAAGAAAATTCATCGGAAAAAAAAAAAGAAAAGAAAAGAAAAAAGAAATGGTATTTTAATGTAAGCATTAAGCAACGAGAAGAATCGAAAAAAATCAGTGAGAAACGAACCTAAAAAAGTGTTTTTAGTCTCTCTCTCAAAATTCCCAACGGTAACCGGAGAATCGCCGGAAAACGAATCCTCGCCGAGGCACAAGACTTGAAGATTCATTCATTCCTCTTTCAATGGTTGCTTTCTAGGTTTCCCACACCAAATCGGTATGAAACGCCTCTGGTTCTGGTTGTTTCCGTTGCTCTTTACGACCGCGATTGCAGCAGAAGAGTCTCCAATAACTCGTATAGCTTTCGGATCATGTGCTAATCAAAGCGCTCCACAGGTAATTGAATCGTATTGATCCCTAGTTCGTTCTGGGTTTCGCAAATTCTTATTAGAACTGCTAAATTTGGCTGGTGGTGTGTAAAAGTTAGACTGATACAGATCCGATAAACAATGTACACATTCGCGATTATGTATGTGTTTGGCTGGTGTGTATATGAAACTTGAATTTGGTTTTGGATTATTGAACATTGCGTAGATTATATATGTTAGTGTTAGGATTGTTGCGTTTTGGTTGGTGTGTTGTGAGTTTATGTTTGGTTAGTCGATTTGGGATGCAGTAAACAATGTAAAACCATGACCAATGCGTTCCAGAGGTAAATCAAATGGTGAAATTTTCTAGTTTGAGCTTAGATTGTGTATTAGTATTCATAGTTTCATGTTGGAGATGTTGCTTTTTGCTGGTGTGTAAGTGAGATTTCATTTTTTCTGTCTCGTGATTCTTTTGTTATGGTTTTTGGTTACATTAGCCGATATGGGTTTCGATCAAACGTAGGTAGACAAATCGTTTTAGCTTCGTTTATGTATTGCTTAGATTATATATGTTGTTAGTACGGGTTCCGTGTTAAGACTGTTGCGTTTTGGCTGGTGTGTTATGAGTTTTCGTTTAAGTAGTTGATATGGGGTGCAGTAAACAATTGCGTTTTATAGGTGAATCAAATTTAAAATTTCTAGTTTGAGCTTAGATTGTGTAGCAGTGGTGCTGCTTTTTGCTGGTGAATTATATAAGTGAGATTCGTTTTGTTTCTATCTCATGATATTTTGGTTATGGTTTGTGGTACATTAGCCGATATGGGATGCGATAAACAAGTTTGATCCGCAACTGTTCATTTGGTTGGGTGATAACATTTATGGAGATATTAGAAGGCCACTTAAAGTTATTGGGAAAGAGAGAACCTTTGGCCCATGGAGGAATACACCGAGGTTTGTGCCTTCTTCAGAGGAAGAAATGAAATTAAGATACGCCAAAGCCAAGTCTAATCCTGGCTATTCTCGTCTTCAGAGAAATGCTAAGGTTATTGGCACTTGGGATGATCATGATTATGGATTGAATGATGCTGGAAAGGAGTTTGATCGTAAAGTCCTGAACCAAAAACTCATGCTTGATTTCTTGAATGAGCCTCTTGATAGCCCAAGGAGAAAGCAAGCTGGAGTTTATGCATCTTATACTTATGGTCCACCTAACCGTAAAGTCAAGGTATTCGGAAACTCTGATACGTTGCTGTCTTCTTTTGTAGCTTTGTAAAGATTTTTAAATGAAGCGTTTTTTATATGTATATCACTTTTTTCGTCTCCAGGTTATAGTTTTAGATACAAGATATCATAGAGACCCTTTGCGAAGTGACGGGAGTATCTTGGGTGATACGCAGTGGGGATGGCTCGAAAAAGAATTGAGAGGTCCGCGGAGCGAAATCACTATAATAGGATCATCCGTTCAGGTATTCTGTATCTTATTTTCTATCGATAGAAAATCCAGTTTTACTTTTTGTCACGGCAAAGTATTAGATTAAAATTATGTGTCCGTTGGCCATAAACTTAATCTTGATAATGCTGAGTATCTTATTCCATCTTGAATTGGTCATCCATTAAAATGGTTTCTTGACTTGTCCAGGTGATATCAAATCTTTCTGCTACCACTGGACCTCTCTTTTATTTGGAATCATGGGGCCGTTTTCCAAAGGAAAGAAAACGTCTTTTCCAACTGATATCAGATACTAAGGTATGGAGTTGTTGACATTAATATTTACAACTCTCAGTTTTCTTGTTTTCTTGTGCCCTCTAATTCTTCATTGCTTTGACATTACAGAGAAATGGAGTTATATTCATCAGTGGAGATGTCCATTTTGGAGAAATCACAAGATACGATTGTTCTGTTGGGTACCCATTATATGATGTCACCTCTAGTGGTCTAGTACAATATGTTGAGAAAGTTATCCCTCGCCCCTTGCGCTCCATGGTTAGGCTTCTTTTCTGGTATACACCAAGCACAATGAGAGTTATCAATGAAAACTGCAAATTCAAATCCTGCACATACGGTATTATTCTCTACTGATTCTGTGTATATCTTGAAGCATCTTACATTGTATTGCTATCCATGTATTTTGAACTTTCCAAAAGATCTATTTATAAGCAATGACACAGTGAGTCTACTCTAAAAATCACAGCTGCTGAAACCTTAGCTATAGGTCTATTATAACTAGCCAAGGACTGAATATAGCAGATTGTAGCTGTTGTGAGTTGGCTTGAAATCAGCTAGCGAGGCCTGTATTTATAAGGCTGTCTAGGCAGATTGTTGAATGGTTTCGAATATCTGGGGATTAGTTAGGCATTTGGTTGAGAGTTAAGAGTCTTTCATTCAATTAAGTGTCTCTGGTTTTGCTTGAATTGGAACAAGAACAGTGTTTTCATGGGAAGGTTTATTATCAACAAAAAGAAACCATTGCACATTAGTGTCTCGTTAAGATAATGAATGGCACCCACTTGGAGGATTACATTGGTCACAATATCTTACCTGCAGGGCAACAAAATTTTGGAGCAATATCGATAGATTGGAACGCAAAGCCGGTTACCATAAGGCTCGAGATAAGAAATGTCAACGGAGACACAGTACTAGGCACAAATGTTTTACTATCTGAACTACAACCACGAGGGTCAAATCCCTTGACAGATCCAACCACAAAGGGAAAGTCTCAACGACATTGCACTCTCGAAATCGATTTACCAGGAACAACTAGATACCGATTGGCAGTTCTCATCTACTTCACCATTGCTGGTATGTAATTCTTCCTCACTTGTAATATTACTCTGGTTCGGATAAAAGAAGTACTGACATAGAGATTGTTTGGTTGGATTCAACAGTCTTGGCAATGGCATTATTAGGATTGATCATTGGAGCTGTACTGACCATAACAGCTTGTGTCCATAAATGCAAGGTTGACTAATTTGTTGGTTTGTTCTGGTAAAACCTTTTTTTTTTTTTTTTTTTTATATCACTAAGCTTTAACCACATTTTGCTTCAATATAAACAGTCTCTACATCTTATAAACTGTATTACTTGCATATGATTATTTTGCAAGTATAGTTTATAATGTTACTAGCAGTTGACCCGCGCTCCGCGCGGGAGGTTTATAATTTTGTTTCGTTGATTTTTATTCATATTGTGATATTTTATTATTATTTTTAATTGATTTTCAAAAATATTATAATTATTTTCTCTTTAATTATTATCTTTCAATACTCAAATTTGAATTAAAAGCATTTGATTCAATTTATGAAATATCATTTTTTTCTTTTTGATCATGTTATAAACTAATATTTCATTTTCATTTTATTTTTCCTCTTTATAATTTTATATATACAATTACATAAATGTTGTTTTAGTCTACCATAAATTTAAATTTTACTTCCATTCTAAAACTCAGTAACATATTTAAAATATTAAATTATGATCAATTTAAAATGAAAGTTGAATTGTATTATTACCACTAATAAAAAAATTAAAATATTGTTTTTCTTATTTTAACATTTCATGTTTTTTACATAATTTATTTTTATTTATATAAACCTTCTATTAATTAAATAAGTAACATAAATATGCACTAAATGAATGTTTTAAATTTATTTTAATGTTTAAACAAAAATGTGGCTTAGGTGGATGCTTATGTGGCATCATGAGAAGAGAGAAAAAGCTAACTTTATATATATAGATAATTGTGGGATGATATGAAGACTTAGGTTTTAACCAACCGCACATGTAAACCAAACTTTTTTGTTTGCTTTTGATTTCACATTTAAAATTAAAATGAGATTGTGAATTAACGAGATTAGATGGAACTAAACAGAGATATGTTTTATACATTTATAACTTTTGTTATATAAGCACTTTGCAATGTTAACATTAAAAATCGAACCTGATATGATAATTTTTTTTGGTAATAGATAGGAGACAATAGCCTCCTATAATTTATTAAAACAAAAGAAAAATACATACGGACAATTCGCGGAAAAGAAACAACATTGACATCGTCCATTTGCACCGAACTACAAACATCCGGACAAACCTCTAACAATTGAAACCCGAGCGGTAAAGAAAAAGCATAATTCGCTAACCCTTCTGCGAGACGGTTAGCCTCCCTATACACATGAGTAACCCGAACTAACCAGTCCCTTGAAAGAAAGCCATGGCACAACTGTACGAGAAAAGCTAATGGATGAGCGTTGTTGACCCCCGAACCTGATATGATATCGTTACACTAATCTAACGTTAGTAATGTTCAAGAAATTACTTGGCGGTATCTAGGCGGAAACAAAACGCCTAGAACGTTTAATCGGAGCCTAGGCGATATCTAGGCGGTTTAGGCGTTTACAATATAAAAATGGGAGAATTTCAAAAATACCCCTTTTCCAATACTACTTTTTAAAAATACCTCTCTTTCTAATTTTATCAAAAAGTCACTATAAAATATGAAATTTATCAAAAACATATGTGTAAGCTTATATTTATAGACACAAATTATCTTTATATGTGTGTAAATTTATATATATATATATATATTTCATAAATACCATATAAATACCTTTTAAAAATCATTTAAAAACCTTATAAAAACTGTGTAAACCTTTTAAAAACCTTATAAAAACCTTATAAATGTCGTTTAGAACCTTTTAAAACCTTATAAATATTTGGATTTTGTCTCCCAGTAGTAATGATGATCTTGATGTATCTATCAACCATATAAAAATTTATAATTTTTCATATATGAAAAGGGGTATTTTTGAAAATGGATAGAAAATAGTGGTATTTTTAAAAAGGGGTATACCAAAAGGGGTATTTCTCAAAAATCCTCTATAAAAAATTATATACATTATATTATAGATAAAAGTTATGTAAAACTATATGCTAGAGATATTAAAATAATAAATCATAAACATCATCTGTTACTGAATGACATAAGATTTTTCATTTTAACCCAAAATAAAATGAGATTTCTCTTTTATTTAATTTTATTACCTTTGTTGGTCAATCCTTTTTTTTATATTTTATTTTAATGTTAGAAACAATAATGCAGTAGTATGCTTCTAATTTCTTTAAATAGCTTCCGGTTTTCAACTACGCATCATGATTTATGTTTTACACTAAAATGAAAAGAAAGAATAATTTTTAAAACTAGGTCTAAACGCAAAATTTAAAAATATATGACGAATTCTATGTCTCAAACCTGAAAATTTGAAATATCCAAACCGAACCCAAACAGCTGCCCAAACGCCCTAAAACCATTAGTCAATATTTAACTCATAAAATATTGTTTTTCAAAAATTTGTCGGTTTAACAAAATATTGATTTCAAATAAATACTCTCTTTTAGACTTTTAGTCCATTTTCTCTTCAGAAGAAAAAAGACTTTTAGTCATCTATTAGCTAATTACCATAAAGCAAATTCCCCTTTTATTTTCGTTGATCAATCCCTTTTAATTAGTTTTTAAATAAAAACAATAATTCAGTATGCTTCTAATATTTTTTAAGTAGCTTCAAGTTTTCCACTACACAGCATGATTTGCTTTTTAAAAAAAAAAATATAATGAAAAGGGAAAGTGAGAATTCGATGCGTCAAGCTTAGGTCCTTTCAAAGTCTCAATTATTTCCTCTTCTTCGTTGAGATTTCTGAGGAAGACGAAACAAAATGCTCTCGATTTGGGTAAAATAGCTTCATGGGTTTATGAATCTCGCTTCGAAATTTTCTCAGTTTGCTCAATGTAAGTGAAATCTTCAAATTTTTTTTGCTCAATTTGGTCCAAAAGCGAAATCTCAATTTTGTTGTAGTTTCTTGAGCTGGTTTGAATTTGGAGATTAGGGTTTGCTTTTACTTGGTGAATCTCGTTATAAATGTGGATACTTTGCTTGTTTACATTTTGATTTTTGTGATCTTTGCTTTTTGGGTTTGTAGAAAAACTTAAGCTTTCAATCTGGGTCTCTCTCCTTAATGATGCATGATGAAACCATTGGGAGAGGAGTCCATAAGGCAGGATCTAGAAGTTTTGACTGTGTCGAAGCGGCTTGTGAAAAGTGTTAGTCAGAAGTTAAAGAAGAAGATTCATAAATCTGAGGTTGTGGAAGATGAAGTGGATGATGCAAGGGGTGGAGTGAATTGTCTAAGTATTAGTGTTGGTTGCAGAGTTGCTGATACAGGTGAGGATTTTGAGGATCCTTGTAATAAGAGATGGTCTAGTGCTAGTGAGGAAGGTAAGGGGTTGATGACTATTTGTGGAACTGAAGAAACTAGGTTAGATTGTTTTTCTTATGGTGTTAAAGAGAGGTTTTGGAAGAAGAATTATAAAAAGTATTTAGTGGATTCGGCTCAGGATAACCGCAAGAATATATTTCTTCCGGATGATATTCTTGAGATGTGTTTGATGAGGCTTCCTTTGACTGGTCTGTTGAATGCACATCTTGTTTGTAAGAAATGGCGATCTATGGCTACTACCCAGCGGTTCCTCCAGCTGAGACGAGAAGGTTCTTTTCAAACCCCGTGGTTGTTTCTGTTTGCTGCTCATAAAGATAGTTGCTCCTCTGGTGAAATTCATGGGTATGATGTCTCTCAAGACAAATGGCACAGGATTGAAACTGATTTACTTAAGGGGCGGTTTATGTATTCAGTGACGAACATCCATGAGGAGATTTATATTATTGGAGGTCGTTCTATGGAAAGAAACTCTTTCAAGTCGCACAGAGGGATCTTGGTATTCAGTCCTTCGACCAAATCATGGCGTAAAATTGCATCTATGAGACATGCTAGATCACTTCCCATCGTTGGTGCCTCTGAAGTTACTTCAGACTTCTCGACCATACAGACCCAACAGAATCGCCAAGATAAACGCTTTCACCTTTCCAGAGTTGGCGGAGTATCAGACGTTTATGAAGACCCTCACAGACTATCCGTAAGACGACAGCACAGAAACTTGGCTGATCAAAACGGCACTAAATCCCTCAGATTAGCAAGACAAAAGCTTGATCGGCTAAACAAAAACAGCTCCAAGAGATTCGTGCTCATTTCCATTGGAGGCACTGGATTTTTTGATGAGCCACTGGATTCAGGTGAAATATACGACTCAGCAACAAACACTTGGTCAGAAATCCAGAGACTCCCGATGGGTTTCGGGGTTGTATGTTGTGGGATCATATGCAATGGAATCTTCTACGCTTATTCTGAGAATGATAAGCTATCAGGATATGACATAGAGAGAGGCTTCTGGATTGCAATCCAAACATCTCCAATCCCTCCTCGGATTCATGAGTTCTACCCTAAACTCATCTCTTGCAACCATCGTTTGTTCATGCTCTCTGTTTCATGGTGCGACGAAGGAGATGGACAGATTGGGAGGAGAAACAAAGCAGTGAGAAAGCTGTGGGAGTTGGATCTTGTTTACCTCACATGGACCGAGGTTTCAGTACACCCGGACGCACCAATGGATTGGAACGCCACATATGTCTCAGACAAGAACATACTAATGGGAGTTGAGATGTTCAAAATCTTTGGGCAAGTATTAGGTTTCTTCACCGTCTGTGATACCTTAACGGAAGAAGCCTCTTGGAGACATGTTTCGAGGAACCAAAGGAGCCAAAAACTTAACCTATCTTGTATGAACAAAACCATTGCCTTGCTTCATCTCTGATCTTCTTTTTCATTAATTTTTATAACTATCAGGACTTGTGAAATTGATTGATTCGTGTATTAAAAAGAAATGAAATGTGCCAGTCTCTTGTGGTTTATTTGAAAAGTAATGTTCGATTTTGTTAGGAAGAAGACGAAGATAAACACATTACATTTAGGGGGTTATACTTATATACTGTAAAACCTCTATAAACTAATAATGTTGGGACAATGATATTTTATTAATATAGTGATATTTTATCTATAATTAATATTTCTTATTTATAGTGTAAATTAATAATTTACAGTGGTATTTTTAATTGTTAAATGAAAATATGTAATGACGCAATTTAAGAAAAAAAAGATTATTTTTTTAGATATTATAAATTTCATAGTTTGAAATTAAATTTTATATTAAGAAAAAAGGAAATGATATACATAAATTCAGATATACGATTAATAACCTCAATTCTTATACTTTGACATCTTATAAAATAAAATAAAAATGAATATGATGCATATTTAAAAATTGTAAACATATAGAAAATTTTTGGTTATTTTTATGACTTGTGATGGAGTATAATTATAGTTATATAACTTTAACTTGAACTAGATACAACAAATACTTTATATTATAACTACAATATTTTATATTTCTCTTGATAAAATGACGTTATTTTAATTTGATAAGAAATAATATTCTAATGTGAATAAACATTGTTTTAACAAAAACAGCTAGAGTTGCAAATCAATAGGTTGAACATGTTAGAATTAACATTAAAATATGTTATATGATGAATTAAAATGAAATTATTACTTCTTTGACACTTTAAAAATAGTAATTGCAATACCTAATTAGTAAATTACACATGTACTATAGGTGAAATCTAACAACACATAAATTAAATCTTAAACTTTACATAATAATAAACGAAAAAATTATAACATTTCTTTTTTTATATCATATAAAATATTTGTTGGCGGTATGCGGGGGTTAAAACTAATGCTCAAACCTGCCTAAAAAATTATGAAAAAGACATCATTAAGTTCATATACTCATTTAATTCATTAAAACATTGGATTATAACGCTATGAAGCAAACCTCATACTTTCGCAAACCATTGCCCGTGGTCCTTAAAAACGTAACTACTCCGTTTAAATTAATGAAACACTATGGCCTCAAATGGTAACACAAAAAAAAATATTCAACAACATTCAACACAAATTTCTCGGTTACCATTTGCAAAAAATGAATTCATGTTCAGATATTTGAGATAGATGTGAATAATTTTGGATAATTTTGTAAATTTTGAGATTATTTAAAATGATTTTTAAAAAAAAATTCACAAAAACAACTCATAAATATGCTAAATTCTCAAATATTATTTACATATCAAACTTGTTAGTTTTGACTGAGCAGTCAATCACAATGCTAAGAGAATCTGAAAATGGGAGGATTGCTTTATTATAATCCTTAAGAAGCTTGATAATCTCATACACACCTTCTAACTCATGATTTCCCATGAGGTTCTGAATAAAATTGTAAGCCTCATCCACCAAATCATTCCTAATAAAGATTTGTAAAGAAGCATCACAGATTTTGTGTCCATGTCTCCAATGATCACTTTTCTAATCCGACTTAATTCACTTTCTTCAGAAAAAATAACATATTAGCTTCCCAAGTATTCTTCTATCAAGTGGAATTCCTGAACTCTTAATCTCCAAATATAAACTAAGAGCCACCCCAAGATCTTTATGCTTAATGGTATGAATCAAAACACAATATGTATTAAAGTTCAACTAACATCTCAAGGCTCCAACTCAGCTAAGCATGAATTCGACTTTGAAACTGCTATGAACAAAAAGTTATAACTATATATATTGGGTTAACACAAATACCCATCTCTCTTGATCAAAAACCAAAATTGCATCTTCCACTAGCCCATCATTACCCAAACAACGGATAAATATCCTAACGCTCTAGGGGACATGAAAAAAGGAGAATTCAAAACATCTCCAACCAAAGCTTTCAGTAAGGCATTTGAAACGCGAATTTTGCAGACGTGATTTTAAGTTGAATAAAGTCAACATTTTCTTTTGTTGCCGACAAATATCAACTACTAGATAAGGCCTCGCGTTTTTAACGCGGGTTTAAATTTATGTTTTCACGTATGAACTAAAAATATTGCATGTATTAAAATTTGGAAAATAATAACATTAACCAAAAAAAATTAACCAATAATAATTGAATTTCATATTTTTTAGTATAGATTAGGGCCCGTCTAGGGTTATTTATTTTCAAAATAAAATTAAAATTAAAATTTAATTGTAAGAATGTTATATCCAAAGTATTCAAAAAAAAAGTTAATATCTAAAGTTAGTAAATATTCTTTTTGTTGAACAAAATTATTTATGTATCATAAATATTTAAAAATATAGTAATGTTAAATTATCCTCCACCAAAAAAATTGTGAGCTACTCACCATTTTTCATAATATTACTATTACCAATTTAGATATTATACTATAAACATGATTATACCATTATCCTAAAAAAATTATTTCCTAACTTCCAGTTTTTTTTTAAAACTATTCTCGCATATTTGTTTTACTTTGCAATTTATTTTATTTGATGGTTAAATTCTTATAAATTAACATCAATCCAAAAATATGAGTTATATTGCCTTGAGATAAGCATTAAGAAAATGTTTTTAATATGTGAGTATACAAAATTACATATTTGATTTTTTTTTTTTAGAAATTACTATACTATGAATTATATTGACTTTTGTTATCCTTATTTAAGTTAATAATGTCTCCTTTTTAGTTCACTTTTATTCACCCCTTTTGTTTTAGTCAGTGAGATTGCACTATGACATATTACATTTAAATATTAATTAAAAATAAAGAACATTTAAATATAAATTAAATATTAAAAAAATAACATGTAATAAAGACATTTATTTTGTTAAACCCATAATCTCGTTTATTGTACCATCTAAATCTTCTTTTATAAATTTAAACACATAAATAACATTGTGTAAGTTGTGTAATGTAAACTCTACTCTTTATTTATAAACCCAAATCAAAATAAACCCTTGTTTAATTGTAAAATCCTAACCATAATCCTCATTATAAATCCAGGCAACCATATAACATGTTTAGTGGTAAAAACTAAACTTTAATCCTTTTGTATAAACAAAATCGACATATAATCTCGTTGTATGTAAATATTAAACCCTAATCTCTTTGATAAATCCAAACCGACATATAATCTGAATATGTTTTTTTAATTGTAATTTTCTATTTTTATCTAATTTTTTACCAAATTAGATGTGTCACATTCCGGTTAATAATGTTTTACTTGACATATATCATAATCACGTGAGTTAATAACTCTGATAACAAAGTTTTATATAATATGAAATTTTGAATTAACATAAAAAAATTCATTATAATTAGGTACACTTTTATATGTATTATTATGAGAAATTAATACCAATAACCTTTTTATGATACCCTCTTTTAAAAATACCCTTTTTTTTTTGCCATTTTCATTTTTGCCCTCTCTTAAATTTTAATGGCCATTTTATCCCTATTTGAAAGAGTATTCTTTCTTTCCCAAAGGAAGGAATATTCCTTCCAAAAAATTTCCCCCCAAAACTTTCCCGCCAAAAACCTTCTCGCCAAAATTTTCCTGCCAAAAATTTCCGGGAAAAATTTTCCCGCCAAAACATTTTCCCGCAAAAAAAAATATTTTTACAAAATTTTCCCGCCAAATTTTTTAAAGGGTTTACAAGATTTTTTAAAGGGTCTTTTAAAGGGTTTACAAGGGTTTTTAAAGGGATTTACAAGAGTTTTTAAATGGTTTTTAAAAGATTTGTAATGGTTTTTAAAGGGTTTTAGAAGCCTACAAAGGTTTTTAAATGGTTTTTAAATGATTTACAATGGTTTTTAAAAGTTTTATAAGTTTATAACAGTTTTAAAAGGATTTACAAGGATTTTTAAAGGATTTTAAAAATTTACAAGGATTTTAAAGGTTTTAAAAAAGGATTTACAAGTGTTTTAAAAGGATTTACAAGTGTATTTAAAGGCATACAAAGATTTAAAAATAGTTTAAAAGGATTTACAAGGGGTTTTAGAAGTTTACAAAGGTTTTTAAAGGGTTTACAAAAGTTTTTAAATGTATTACAAGTTCTTTAAAATGGTTTTTAAGGATTTACAAGGGTTTTTAAAGGGTTTTAGAAGTTTATAAAAGTTTTTATTAAATGATTTATCTCGGTTATGAGGGGTTTAAAGGGATTTACAAGTGTTTATAAATGTTATAAAATGATTAACAATGATTTTAAAAGGTTAACTCAAGTTTTGAAAGGTTTTGGATGACTTTTAAAAGATTTACAAGGTTTTTCAAGGATTTTTAAGGGATTTAAAAATATTTACAAGGTTTTTTAAAAGATTTTTTAATGAATTGCGGAAAATTTTTTGTCGGAAAATTATTGGCGGGAAATTTTTTGGAAGGAATATTCTTTTTGTTGGAAGGAATATTCTTTTTGTTAGAAGGAATATTATTTTTGTTTGAAAGAATATTCTTTTTGTTGGAAAGAATATTCCTTTCTTCATCATAGGTTATAATAAAGGAGGGTAATTAAGTCTTTTTGTACATTGAAGAGAGTATTTTTGAAAATGGACACCTAGAGAGGGTACTTGTAGAAAAGGGTATCATAAAAATGTTAGTTGTGCAAATTTCCCATTATTTATTTAGAATTTTTTATGATAAGTTTATAAATTTAATTTTAAAATATTTTAATATATCGTAAATTTACACATGTCAATATCTTATCGGTACAATTGACACATGTCACATTAATAGATTAACTTCCGGAATAAAAATATTTAAATATTACATAATATTCACGATAATGCAAATATTTTCTAAGATTAACTTATAGTTGAATTACTTATTGCATTTTTTTTTGTTAATTTTTTATTCCTTAGACCTAATTTTTATTAATAATTTTATTTGATAATTACTATCCCTTTTCCTTTAGGATTACAACTAAGTAATTGTTAAATTTCCTGAATTTTTATTTTCTTCTTTCTATTTTGAAAATATTCTATTTTTGAAAACTAATTTATATAATTTTTTACCACTAATTATCTGACACGTGTTAACATCTTATCAATTCAATTTACACGTGTCACGATCTTGTTAATGACTAACTTTGAAAACCCAACTTTATATAATAAAATTCCCCGTGTTCTTAAAAGATATTTTTTCTAGATTTTTCACACCTATTAAGAAAATATCTAAAAATTAATGATAATTCTATCATTTTTTCTGATTCACAGTTTTTTATAATTTTGAAACAATAAGATTTAGTTATTTACTTTGAATTTTATAAATCGTACATAATAAAAAATTGATAACTTAAAACAAATATCTTTTTGAAACAAATTTGATCCCCTAGAAAAATCATCTTTTAGAAACGGAGGGAATACTAACAAAGAATACATTTTTTTTAATGTGATACTAATAGAACATTTCTATTTATGAGAAACTTTTTTATACGAACTGTTTTATTTTTTGGATGCAAAGGGTTACGAGAATTTGAAACATTATAATTTATTAATACTAAGTTTTTATTTTTTGCAATTTTTGATTAACGATAAAAGCTTTTCCTTCTTATCATTAGTAGTATCAAGTCACGCAAATATTAGCAATGAAACAAACACATAATAACGCAACATTAAACATAAGCGCACGCATAATTTTTTATTTATAGTGGGTTAATAACATTTATGAGTAGTGATGTTTGTCATAAGTTATGATTTAACAGTAGCAGTGGCATTGTCCTCCGTGAGACATAGGTTTGCAGAAACCGCCTTTTCCATTGCTGCAGCCATTAAGACACCAACTGTTGCATCTCTCATTGTCATTGTCAAGGATTTTTATTATTTAAATTTAACAAATTATAAGAAAGAAAAACGTACCAACGGAGAAAATGAGAACAAGGAGTAAAGCAAAAGAAAAAACTTTCACACTTGCCATTGTTGATCTTCTTTCTAGATTTTTGTTTAAAAAGTGTTTAAAGTCTGGTTTTGTTTTCAGATAAAAAGAAAGATATGATTTCGTTCTTATTTATACCAAAATGTAGTCCACATTTAGTATTATTGTTTTTCCACATTTTGTTGATTTGTTGATGTTTATACCAAAATGTATTCCACATTTAGTTATTATATATTTTCTTCCACATTTAGTTGATTTGTTGATGAAAACAAACTACAATTTACTTCATTTTTGCTAATTATATCGTAACGTTTTTTGTTTTAAGGAAAATTCAAATAATTCATGTTCCGTTTTGACTTATTCTTCTTGAAAATAACAAAACCCCTACATGGCTAAAATTAGATAACAAACAATTCTGTATACAATTTAACAAAAATGGGCTTGTTTAGTTTTTGAAGGACCATAAATTCGTTTAATTACAAAATCTAAACTCTATCCACTATATTGTCAACCCAAACCGATACTTTCGTTTAATTACAAAATCTAAACCCTAACCACTATTTTGTCAATCCAACCAAAATATAATTTTGTTTAGTTACAAAATCTAAACCCGAACCACTAATTTTTCAATCCAAACCAAAAAATATTTCCTTAATAAAAATCCTACAGAATTTGTTTCCTTAATTTGATTTATTTATTTATTTTAATTTTAATTTACTTTTTTAAATAAAAAAATTAAGTGGCATATTCTTATATTTTGATTCGCTAATTAAGAGGGGGTGAACAACAGTGCTCCACCCCTAAGGGTGAACCCAAATATTTTTCTTATATGAGAGTAAATATTAATTCTTCATATCACAAACTCTCATCACATTCTAACACATGTGAGTATGTGACGTATGTTTTAAAGCTAAGCAAACTAGAGAAGTATTTTCTGAGAGTTCTATAAAGCAATGGATAGTTTTTCACTAATTCATGTTGATGTCGACATTGTATTTTTATGGGGTACCCTTTTGGCAAGAAAAGATGGAAAGTTTATGATCTCGAGAGCAACGAGTTCTTTATCTTCCGTGATGTTGTCTTTCAAGAAACAGTGTTTCCCTCTGTTACAACCCCAAGTGAGCAGCATTTGATAGTGATTGGATTGTTGATTTATCACCTACACATCTAGTAAGCGGGATTACCCCTCACGTTGACCATGATGTGGTCGAGGCTCCGTCTTCACCGTCCCCGACAGCGAACGTGATACCAACGCAGCATGTAGTTGTGTCTTCTCCTTCGTCTTTAGTTGTATCACCAGCTCCACCTTCTAGTGAATTACCACCTTTTTCTTTTGTTGTACCTTCGGATCCGTTACCGTTTTCAGCGGACGATGACATGGGCAAAGGCAAGCGTCAAAAATTTCCATCTGTGAGTTTAAAAGGCTATGTTACTCACACAGCTAAGTGTACGCAAGACCCCCATCACGCTTTCCCTGACTTTGATACAGAGTCTTTGTCAACGGTCCAAGGTAACACCGTAACACACCATACCCTCTTACAAATTATATATATCTGATAATATGTTCTCTTCAGTGATGCGGACATCGATTATCCTGCCCAACCCGCTGAACTAGATCAAGTACCAGATCCTGTACCAGATCCTGTACCACACCCTGTACCAGTCGTTCCAGTAGGTCCCATGACTCGTTCAAAGTCTAAACAACTTAGAAAGAGGTTCAACCTAGCTGTACAAGACATTGTGAGCTCACTAGAGCTGAACTACGTCAACTGGTCTGTACCACCTTTACTCCATCATGACGGATATGATCCCATCGCCGAGGAAGAGCTTGCTGAAGCATTCACCCAAATGAGTCTTGAACATACCATTTCCCCAGGTATGAATTCTTCTTTGACAGGTCAAGAAACCTCTAGAATCCAAGAGAAGACAATGGAGTCACAAGAGACGAGCAAAACAAGCTTCACCTTCGAGAGTGATCGAGAGAGTGAAGATCAAGAACAAGACATCAAGGACTTGGAAGAGCTTCAAGAGACTGATCAAGCTACCCAAGAGAAACTCCAAGAAACCATCTACTTCAAGAAACCAACAAACAAACATGCACCTGACAAGACCCCTGAAGTAGATCAAGACGTAGTTCAGAGAACATCGATTGGGCCTAGATCGCATCCAGGTAAGTTCTATTCAGTATTTTCGATATTTGCAGGTTCACTAAGCCCCAACAACGGCTAGAATACGTGCCCTTCAAGTGAGTTTAAGTGTGCACAATTAGTTTCTTTATTTTGTCATTTTCTTTCCAAAAACAATGGGTTTTGTGTTTGCTTTTTATTTGTTTCCTTTTGTATTTCTTTGCATTTATTTTTGGCCCTAGGGCTAGCTGATGGACTCTTATAAAGTCCCCCTGCAGCAGTTGTACGATTTTTCACCCTATTATCAATAAAGAAACCGAATTTTCTTCAATTTTTCTCCTTAAGTGTTCTTAAGAGAAAAGCTTGTTCTTTGTCTTGTGTGTGTGATTCCACAAGGCTGAGTTCGTGTACTGTATCAGAGACCAATCACATCTCTGTGGTGTACTTCATTCCGCCAGCACTTCCCCTTCATTCGATCCCACACGAGAGAAGCGACCGCCATCGTGTCAGATCTACATCAACGACCATCTTTCCTTCACAAGAGAGAAGCGACCGCCATCTTGTGAAGCCATCCTATCTATCCTAATACAAGCTCACCACCGAGTCTTGTACCATTCAGTCCATCGAGATTTCTTAGCAGCTGTCTTGGATGCGGTGGAACCTAATTCTTATAAACAAGCCCTTCTTGATCCACGATGGACCAAGGCTTTGAGTTAAGATCAGTTTGAAGTTTTGTCGTCCAAGTTGGGCATTTGTGATCTTCATGCTCCAACTTGAGGGGGAGTATCAGAAGATATACATATATATTGTGTGGAGAAAAGGAAATTGTATAGCTTGCTCTCCAAGTAGAAGTAAACCTAGTTTATTTTGTATATATACGGTGTTGTATATGCTTAAGAGAAATAAGAAAAAGCACATTCTAAACCTAGCCGCTTCTCTATCTGACACACAATTGCAAAATGATACAACCAAGATAGTTTAAATATGCTCATCAAGCCAGCCTCCACTAAGAATCTCATTGAAACACTCAAGGCTCCAACTCAGCCGAGCTTGAATTCGACTTTGAAATTGCTATGGACAAACAGTTATAACTATATACATTCGGAACACAAAGACCCATCTCTCTAACTCGATCAAAAACCAAAATTGCATCTTCCACTAGCCCAGCATTACCCAAACACCGGATAAATATCCTAACGCTCCAGGGGACATGAAACAGGGAGAAATTCAAAACATCTCCAACCAAAGCTTTCAGTGAGGCATTTGAAACGCGAATTTTGCAGATGTGATTTTAAGTTGAATAAAGTCAACCTTTTCATTTGTTGCCGAAAAATATCAACTATTCCCCGTGTTCTTAAAAGATAATTTTCTAGTTTTTTCACACCTATTAAGAAAAAATCTAAAAATTGAAGATAATTGTATCATTTTTTCTGATTCACAGTTTTTTTATAATTTTAAACCAATAAGATTTAGTTATTAACTTTGAATTTTGTAAATCGTAATTAATAATGCATTGATAACTTAAAACAATTATCTTTTTGAAACAAATTTTATCTCCTAAAAAATCATCTTCTAGGAACAGAGGGAGTAATAACGAAGAATGCATTTTTAATGTGTTTTAATGTGATACTAATAGAACTATTTCTTTTTATGAGAAACTTTTTTATACGAACTGTTTTATTCTTGGGGTGCAAAGGGTTAAAAGAATTTAAAATATTATAATTTATTAATACTAAAGTTTTTTTATTTTTTATTTTATTTTTTGATTAACGATAATTTTTTTTCTTCTTATCATTAGTAGTATCAAGTCATGCAAATATTAGCAATAATACAAACACAAAATAACGCAACATGAAACATAAGAGAATGCATTATTATTTTTAATTATAGTGGGTTAATAACATTTATGAATAGTGATGTTTGTCATAAGTTATGATTTAACAGTAGCAGTGATATTGTCCTCCGTGAGACATAGTGTAACGCCCGTGTTCAAAAATAGGTGGTGTCGATCGACATCAAGGGAGGGTGTCGCACGATACCAACAATTTTCAGGTTGGTTGGGTTCGATTTTAATTGCGGTTTGCTTGGGTTTGGTTTGGGATTAACCCTAAGTGACGCTTTAAAAGAGAAAAGGTCGTCCTTGTTCTCTTTTCAGCCGCTTTTAGAAGTTAGCAAAGAGCAAAGAGTGTGAGATGATCTTTTGGTGCCTTTGAGTGAGTGTTTTGTGAGTTTGAGGCGTGTTCTTGGTGGATCAAGGCTAGAGGAGGTTAGATCCGTGGTGTTTGGTGTCTGTGGAGGTTGTTTCACCCTTGCTAGTCCCTGTTTTGTTGCTGTTCCTTCTTGTTTTAGAGGTGAGTGCGTGACTATGGCTGATCTAAGCATGTTTAACCTTTCTTATGTGTGTTTGATTGATTTGGATGGTTGGATTTGTTTTGTGTGGCCATGTTTGTGTGTTTTGGTTGCTGTTATTGTATGTTTGAGTGTTAGGGATCATGCTTGGAGCTTTGGAGGTGATGGATTCGTTCTCTGGGGAGTTGAGAGGCGATTTCAGGGTTTCTGCGGGGTTGGTGTTGCTCGACACCAATTTTATGCTTGGTTTGTTTGTTTTGGGTAATCCGATGCATGTTAGATTGGTATAATATGCTTGTGTGTATAGCCTAGTAGATGGGAGAATCACTTCACTGAGTATTTGTGATAATACTCACGCATCTCATTGTGTTTGTGGTGCAGGTATAGTGTGATCCGTGGAATCATGGCGAGGAGAGGAGGATGATCTAGAGTCTCGATTGCTATGTTATGAATATGTTAATTGTTGTTGGAACCTGGTTTAGAGGCATGCTAGGTCGCTTGTGTAAATTGTGGTTATTGAATGATTGGTTAATTAATGTTATGATTAAATGGTGTTGGTTTAATATG